TTTTTTCATGACATATTGCAATATATTATTTATATATTTTTATTTTTATATTATATAATGCAATTAGTGAATGAAAAATGAATCGGACAGTTTTGAATTATTTTTTTCTACGAAGCGTAAAAAATTATAAAATTTATTGAATCAGCATTATCTTTAAATCGACATATATGCACATATCTGTCAGCTGCGAGATTAATAGTTCCCGTGTACATATATATTATCTGATACATGTCTTATAGATATAGGTATGTCTATGTATCAAGGGAGCTGGTTGATATAATTTTTATTTATTATTTATTCCTTTGTTAAATAAGGAACCGGAAACAATATTTCAAAACGTTTTCATTATTCAATAATGCTATATAATTTATAAACACATATTATGAAGCATGTTGTACATCTCTGATTTATTATCACATGTTCTCCTTTTTACACACAAACTAAATTAAATAAGTTATATATATTCAATTATTTAAGAGGTAACAAAAATAATATTTTTTAAAAGTGTTATGTTCGTTGACAAAAAAGTAAGTTAATACTATTTATTAAAAATCTAAATGTAATATTTGAGCGGATATATTAATTTGTTCACAGTGGTTACATAATATAACAGCATCTGACGCTCTAACTCATGCCAACATACATGAATTTGTACTGCGTTCGTCATATAATCTTATAATTGTTGTATTTATTTATGATGTCGAAATGACTAAATTAATTTGTTAACATATTATTAGGATATTGAGAAAGACTGTCGTACAGTCGAAACGTTTATCTGAACTTTTGTATAGTATGAAGTAAATTAATAAATAAATTTTTCAATTAATAGCATATAAGCTCGTTAAGTTGGCCTTTTATTATATCACATATTTTAATATTTTTTATATATTTTTTAATACTAATGAAAAACTTGTGAAATGTGAAAAGATTAATTGATATTCATAATCTTTTGAACAACTTTTACATATTATTTCACTTTTAATTTCATTATTCAACGTAATTTAAATAAAGAAAAAACGAAAACTGTAATGGATATAATAAAATATTTGTCGATTTAACATATAAATTATTATATAATAGTATTACTTGGAAAGGTAATAACAGATTTTTCTTTTCTGCGAATGCAGAAATAGTTATAATGCTTATGAATGTTTAGACCACTATATTTTTATGATGTAAAAATTAATTACAACGATTATTTTAATTGGATTTGTACAGTAGCTAGAGATTGTCTAAATAAAAATGATATTTATTTTTATTTCTTTTTATATCTTCGGTTTTATATACTAAAGATTTATCTTTTTAAATAAAATAGTTAAGAAATAGAAATGAAATAGGTATTTCTACTTCAATATTGTCGAGCCAAAATTTGCGATACAATAAGTTATAATTAATATGACGAAATAGACTGTTATAATTAAAAAAATAACTGGAAAATAACAAAAATTACGTTATATTCATGTTTCACGTTAAAATTATATAATTTATTAAACAATATTTTATATATAAGATACTGCATTTTATGTTATATTTCAATTATAGACATCTTGATGAAAAAGTATATTATGTAATTATAATTTATAATATATTGCGAAACTGTAACATGTGAATTAATATCTTATACATTATGTCAACATAAATTAGATAATACAAATAAAATGACAACTTTTCTGATCATACATTTTTATTAATATATTTTATTATTTTTTAATTTTGTATGTATATCTATGTATATAATCATTTTATATAAATTTGTAAATGATAAAGTCAAGAGTTTAATTTTAATTATAATGATTATAATAATAAATGATTATAAATAAATAATAAGATAAATGATTATTTTTAAATTATAAAAAATGTAAATTATAAAAGAAACATAGAAACATATTCATACTTTCATTTATAAATATTTATCATTTATTACTTAAGTATTTTTATGTATTATGGCCCTAAATCAACTTATTTGAACATTATGCTAAAATATAATTAAAATGCTAAATTAAAATGCTAAAATATAATTTAATAAAGATAACACTTTTATCTAAGATACAGATAAAAATAATACATATTTTTATTATCTATATAAAGATAAGATGACGCCAAAACTTCATCTGGATAATCATCTATCAGGGTCATGCGCTGTAAATAAATATACAAGAAACTTTTTTGATTTGTAAATTAATTGATATACAGGATGCTTCATAATTTATATATTACATTATATTATTTATATTATATTGTAACGAGAACATTATTATTAATTATTAAGAAAATAAATATTAAGTTTGAATATCCGTTGCGAAATTTAATTTAGCAAAGAAATAATTTCATTTGTCTCGAAGTGAAAGAAACACAGGTGAAAGTTAAACCGAAGCGTTGAAATATATTTATTATTTGTATGTACATTTATTTTTCGACCTAGCTGAGTCGGTTGGCGCGAGGTTGGCGTCCTTCTCCTTGCCATGTTTTCCAAAAACCGGTAAAATTTAAGTTTTAGAGGTAACTGACGTGGCGAAAAACAATAGAGCAAGGAGAAGAAAAAGTATATTAAGCGAGCCAACGACGGTGGGACAGGTAGAGAGATTTGTACCGATTGTCTCAAATAAACCATCTCACGTTAAAACAGAGATCAACCGCGATAGATCCATACGTTTATCAATTTCACCTATTACCCACGCACGTTATACTAAAATATAATGCAATTTGTGAGTCAAAAATGAACCGAACAATTTTGAATTATATTTTCTGTGAAGCTTGAGAAGAAAAATTATGAAAACAAATTGATTTAATCAGCATTGTTTATTAAATTGACATTTATCTGTTAGCTGTGAGGTTGTTATATTTGCATGTACTATTTGGCGCATCTTGCTTGAGCATTAATTATTGCTCATACGCCAGTATTTCTTGAACAGCTCTCTGATGATGAACTATCCCAAACATCACGTCAAAAACGGGACATAAGACGTCTTAAAGACATATTTTAATATGACATATTTTAATATGATATATTTTAACATGATAAAGACATATTTTAATATGATGTCTAAAAGACATCTCATAATGACTCCTTTAAGACATCATTAGACATCATTAGAGTTGTTGTCTAGGACGGATGTAGGAATATTACTCACCCAGCAAACACCGATATATAATTGTTACATTGCTATAATAAAACGGAATATAACAGGTAATATAACGTGTACATTACATGTAACATCCATGTCAGTTGTAATTTCCTACTCATAGATGTAACATTTTAATATAACATATATTACATTGTAGTTATATTGTAATTATATACCAAGTAGCACATTGATGTATTGATAAGTCAGTGCTATCTTGGGATATAATGACAATATGGGATATAGTTACAATGTAATATATGTAATATTAAAAATGTTACATCTATGAGTGGGAAATTACAACTAACATATACGTATAACTAACATTACATATAACATGCTTGAGTATATAACATTTATATACTGTGTTTGCTGGGCAGATTTGACTTCCTTCGCCCAAAAAGGTATCTTAATTATGCTCCATCCAGATTCATGATCGCTTATTGGACAATCATCAAATCAGCATCTTATGGTTGGCAATTTTCATCCTTAAGAGGATCCTAAACGTTTTTGAAAAGTCTGTTGTTTTTTTCTTTTTTTATCGACAAAATATGAGGTTAGATAAACTATAAATCTATTTATTGGCTATATAGATTGTTTTTTACCTAAAATTAGAACGCTTCCTCTTTTGTTAATATTAATACTTTAATTTGTACAGGAAAAAAATTTATCAATCTGTATAGTCTTATGTATCTTGGTTACAGAATTATGAATGCTTAAAATTCATAATTCTATAACCAAGATATATAAAACTATATAGATTGATAAATCTTTTTCCCGTACAAATTAAAGTAATAATATTAACAAAGGAGGAAGCGTTCTAATTTCAGGTAAAAACAATCCATATAGCCAATATAAATAGATTTATAGTTTATTTAACCTCATATGTGGTTGATAAGAAAGGAAAAAAACAAATGACTTCTCAAGTCACTACCTATCTGAAATAATCCTCACAGCATCTTCAGATTAATTTAAGATAATTTTAAATATAGAATGACATTTAAAAACCATCTTGCTCGTTCGATCATCCGCCATCTTGGATTAGTAAAACTTTCGTCCCATATCTCCGTCTTCTCTTGCCCTCTCATATATGCTCCATTTAATTATTCTTACATTCATGTGATGAATCATCAAACGAGTGAACGATATTTTTTCCCATGTGTCACCGGATAGTGACTATATTTGTGCCTTCAATCCGTCCTTTCAGGTTAAGGTGCTTTTTCATGAGCCGCTGAAACCAATTGTTTGAGCGACAAAATGATCACATAACAACTTTTGTCGCTGAATTAAACAGAGATCATTTTTGTACATGTAAAGGATAGGCAGCGCGACAGAATTGAAAGTTAAGCGTTTAAGAGCAGTAAATGCTTTGTAGTTGAACTGATTCAAACTACAAAATTGTTGATGCTGGATTACGAGCGACTAATCTGTCGCTTCAATCACTTGTTTTAGCACGTGAAATTGCACCTTTATGTGACGAATAAATAATATCATTAGGTTAGGTTAGATTATAGGTTGGGATATCAGAATTACTTCCGGTAGAGGGTTTAAAGAAAGACAAAACTATTTTTTAACACTATCATTATCTCCAAAATTACAATGTTTTTAATGATTGTGCCCAGGGGAATTTTCGGATTTACGATATTTTCTTGTAAGATGCGACCGAGCACGCTGTTTCTTTTTCGTCAAGTAAAGCAGATGAGAGAAGGGCGGTTCTTCAACCCTCTCTCTCTCTCTCTCTCTCTCTCTCTCTCTCTCTCTCTCTCTCTCTCTCTCTCTCTCTCTCTCTCTCTCTCTCTCTCTCTCCCCGCACGCGATACGGCGCGCCGCCGTTCCTGGGTTCGGTCTGCATTGCGCATTCACGAGACTGGCGCATCGTAGCGGTGTCGCCCGCCGTCGTCGTCGACGTCGCGCTTTTGTCGCTGCCATCGTCGCCGTCGCCGCTATCGAGTCAGTTTCAACCCGAGGTTTCGACGGTGGCCTTGATAAGGAGTTCACTTACAGCGCTTTCGGGATACGGTAAGGGTGGAAGAACGACGTGAAAGCTTGAACGTGAGGGACGACACTCGTATCTTACAAGTACAAATAAGACGGCTGAATCATCGATTTGGAACGGTAAGCAAAACCTTCTCAATCTTCGGAAATCAAAATTAGGGATTTGGGTTTGGTTCGTGAGAAAGGACGCGTACGTATTCCAACGTCCGAGAAAATTCTTCGTTCGATTTAATTGGCAGCCCTTATTGCATGTTCGATTCAATTGACGGTGCTTTGCCTTTTCAGGCAATCGGATTAGATGTGAATTATCGCGTGAGTAACGATTATTAGGGATAGAGGAATTGGAAGCTCGATATGTTACGTTTGAAAAAAATCTTGGACGAAGATGATGAAAACTTTCTACGGAAACGCATTTTTTCGATATTAAAGCTCGATAAATTTGGGGAAAAATTTAACACAAGAATATAAGCACTTTTTTTTTTATTTCATATTAATATGTTATATTAGAATTAAATCGAAATATTTATAGTATATTAGGTCAAATGTATATTTCATAAAATTTGGCAGCATCGTGAAAATTTAAGTATTTTAAAAATATAGTTATTATAGTTACAATTTAAGAAATATTGTTATAATAAAAATTATAACGATATCAACAAAAAACCTGCAAATTATTAAATATATATAGTGTATATATATATATATATACATATATATATATATATATATATATATATATATATGTATTATAAATTGTGTGTATAAACTCCTTAAAAAGAAAGGAAAGAACTTTTTGTCATACAAAATAACACTAGCGCTAAATTTGGAAAGTGTATAAAATCATCATATGAAAGAAAGTTGAAAAATTGCTATTCTTCGCTCGAAGAGTTTACTTTTTCGAGAAAAGTCTGTCAAAACTCTCCGGAAACAGTTTATTTCATATGTGTATTGTATCATGATCATGCATTATTCATAAATCTTCGAGTCTTAAATAGCACGAACGCGAATCAATCCGAGAGTTATATATACATATAAGCATGCATTATGTGTGGCTGAGCCGAATGAGTATTTGAAATTAAAACAAAATTATAAAGTCGCATATAATTGTGTGACTTTGTGTAAATATAAAATCCGAGATCGTGAACGTTTCGATTTTACTGTCCAATTACACAGGTCATGTAGTCTTACAATATTCCAAGTAAATTCCACGATTCGGAGAGTAAATATTGCCGTAACATCACATGCGATGATTATATTGTCTTGATTAGAATTCTCGTTTATTGATATTTTACATACTCGTTTAACAAAATTTATAAGGTCTTGCAAAAGAATTTTGCGAACCTAAAAATTCTGATTTTAATGAAACTTTTATAATTGTATAAATACATTTAAAAATTTAGAAATTTTAAGTTGATTCTCTGAAAATGGTTAAAGAATAAAATTACCTACCTTATGTAACAGAATAGCTTTCGACTTTTCTCCATGTATCTCAAAAATTATTTTAAATATTAAAAAATTTATACAAAAGTTTTATAATAAAAATATCTCTAATTACAAAATAAAATAAAAGAGAAATAATTTTCGGAAAAAATTGTTTCAAAATTTCTATTTTTTTTATTTTATTGTTGTGGTTAAATAAAAATTTTTATGATGAAACTTTTGTGTAAAACATTTTTCGAAATCTCGAGTAATTTTCGAAATATATCGAGAAAAGCTAGCTCTACATATAATAGATAATGAACTCTTAAAATCGTTTTTTAGCATCAATTGAAAATTTAATTCATCCATTTATTTCCTTTTTCCCACTATGTGCAAGTTTTATTAAAATTATAATTTCTAGATTTCCGGATTCGAGATTCTCTTTTAGAATTTTTCCCTATATATTTTTTATTTTTATATCTATTAAAATATTAAGCTGGTCTTTTGAGGTATTTTAAAAATTATAGAAAAATTAATATCATAGCCACATTTTTTCATAATTATTTATACATAGAAAAAATTACTACAAAAAATCAACGACAATTTTTTTCTTTAATGCAGTAATTACAGAAAGAATTTGAAGTTTCTGTCTTCATTTAGATTCCGGAAACCCTCTCGTCTTTTCAGACACATTAAACTTTCTTTACAGATATATATCGTACATCGCGTACATTACGTCGGCGCGCACTTTGTTGAGCTTAACCACTTCAAAAGCCGCTCGGTCAATAACCCGTTCGGTGTTGCCACCAAACTCTGAACATCTGCTGTCATTATTGGCTTTTCCATATGTGTTCAATTGGATTTTGTTGTTGATATTGGAAATATAGATACAATTTTACAGATCTCTCAATTACAGTCAAAAAGTACTTTTCATTATATCTGCGGATATTATATCTACATTACAAATATGAAGGTTGGACGTAATAAATCATCAAATTTTAATGTCATTGTGCTGATTGATTGGTAATGAAATTCAAACATATCTATATAATATAACTATGCACAGGATGTTCTAATTGGAAAATAAGCTTAAATAATTAAGGACATTAGAATTAAAAAAAATGTTTGAACAAAAGTTATCTTAATAATTATCTGCATAAAATATTAAGATAAATCGATTGATGTGAGAAAAACATACTATTATAATAAGAAAAAATGCAATTTGCAATGTGCAAATATAATCCTTTTTTAAAACAAAGCTGTTTTTTTAAACTAACTTATTTATCTCATTATTTTATGCAGAAAATTATTAAGAGATAAGATTATCAAAAAATGAATATTTTACAAGATTTTTTTTGTTAAAATGTATCAAAATAAAGCCTAAAATATTTCATAAATTGTTTATTTTTCGACTACTTTACTCTAACAATTTTTATGCCAAATATTACGAAGAATCGATTTGTAAGAAAATTATAGTTCCATTTAAAAAATGATAAAATGTTAAAAATGCTTCCATAAAATAAGACTATGTTTACGACAGGATATTCTCCTTAAAATTTTATAACTTTTTTGCCAAACATTTTTTTAAACAATGTTTCTTAATTATTTAAGCTTTTTTTTAAATACATTCTGTGTAAATTTAATAATAGCTCTCAATTTTGTATCTAATATTATATCAATATTTTAATAATAAGTGTTATACTGACCACTATATTACAAAGAAATAATAAGTGTTATTCAAAAATATTACTGAATTTGAAGTACATTTTACATTGAACGTAATTAACGATTACCGCACCGTTTATTAGTATATCTCTTATGTTTATTGTATAATCATTATTCCGAATCACAGTTTGCCGCAAATTATCGAAGTACAATTATTCCACAATTGTGTCGAAAGATTATATCTCTCGCAACGTATTGTGCGCGCAATCGTGTTTTTTTTTTTTTTTAACTGCAATTACTCCGATGACAATAGCATTGTTTCCGTCGATAGCAATTTTCTTCTTATTCATCGCTTCAATTCGCAAGTTCATTAAATGCGACACGCTTTTGTGTTCACAAAACTTCGTTAGATGATACGACAAGCAATGCGCAACCGCCATTTATCGCCATTTTTAAAAATCTAACCTAACTTAATCGCCGCTGGAAATTTTTCCCAAGTCGATGAGAAAACTCGAAAGTTCACCAGCCATAGCCAGCCAGATTGTGTAATCCTAAATGATCGCAGTGGCAACTGCAATGAGGGTTATTGCATTTTACAATTTCAGAGTCCACGGGCAGCGGTGACTGTAAGCCGTTTAGCCACGGCTCTAAGCGAATTCCGAGACTCTCCGGGGAACAACTGGTGTATGTGTGTGTATATTACACCATATATACCGTATGTACAGAGTGTAACTGAGCAAAGTTATATGAAGCACACCATCAAGTATAGGACGACAAACTGAATCGAAAAGTCCTAAGCCATTTTTTAATCTGAGCTTTATTTTTAATGCTATAAAGTGTTAAAATTGGCTAATTAGCATATGACTACAACGTAAGCGCCGCCTTACAATTAGTAGGTGTACTAAGACGGCGCCTACGTTGTAGCCATGCACTGATTGACAAACTTTAACAATTTATAACGTTAAAAATAAAGCTCAGATTACAAAATAGCTCAGAATTTTTGATTCAGTTTCTCATCCTTCACCTAATGGTGTGCTTCATGTACCTTTGTTTAGTTACACCCTCTATATTATATACCGCAATATATGGTAGAAGAACCCGCGGACAGTATAGAGATTCGAGTCGGATCCCTTCCCTTACCATTCTAGGTTCTAGAATAGAGAGAGGGAGGAGAAGAATGGTTCTAGGATAGAGGGAGGGGAAGAGAAGGATGGTCCGACGATGTAACCGAGCCGTTACATCGCGATATTGCACTATTGCTGTCACTGTTATCGCTTCACATCGACGTTACTCGGTGTGATGTCATTACATTTAGCTGTAGTCGCGCAAGGTATATGTTGGTTTAGTTAGACGTTCCGCTGCTCCTCCGCAATGTCATTTTAATTCGGTAACATGCAAATTTAATTCTCTCGGGCACGCGTTGTTGGCGGCATATAGCTGTATGAATCATATTTTTACATTCTTTAGTTTGAAATATTGGAGGATAGTGTAAAAATGTAAATAGCATAATTTTTTCTACATTAAAGAAAACGTTGAAATAAAATTTAGATTGAAATTTAGAATGTATTGATTACGTAAGAAAAAATTACTTATCTTCTTATTTTCATTTATTTGATATTTATCTGATTTATCGTGACTTTGTTATACAGGGTGTTCCAGACCTATCGTAAAATCTATTATATGACAGATTCCTGGGAGACGATTTTTCCTCACAATCAGTGAAAATGTCGAGAGAACATTTTTCATGTTCCCCATTTTTGTCATTATGTCATTGTAACGATGTCTTAAATTAAAATTTTCTATTAAAGTAAATTTTTTATTAAAGTAACTTTACTTAAAATTAACTGATGAATGCGGTTTTGTTAATATTTTATTTCTACAAGGCTTAGTTTACGAAATTCTTTATCTTCATTCACATAATTCGAAAATTATTGGTGCTTCGATATTTTCACTGAGGAAAAATCGTTTCCAAATGATCTTCCAGGAATCTACCATTAACCAGTTTTATGGTAGGTCTGGGACATTCTGTATATATA